AATATTATTCACGACAAAAATATCAAGTTTTTATTCAAAGCACCTACGGAGAAATGGACAAAGGATTATCGCCCTATATCTGTGAGAACTCCTGCAACTGTCAAAAAAGCGAAAAAATATATTACAAAAGAAAATCCTATGCCACAAAGAGATATAGCTAAATTAATAGGAACATCAGTGTCAACAATAAATAAAATAATAAATAAAGATTTAGGCCTAAAAGCTACAAAAAACATGCGGTTCACAAATTGTTTCAGAGCCATTTTCGTCAGCGACACACTATCAGCAGATATTTTTATGAAAATTTCTTGGCTGCTGATAGGTGGAAATTTATTGTTACAAATGACGAAGAATGGGCATATTTAACCGATTGCGACAGAAAAGAGCTATATACTATCAAAAAGGGCGGTAAAATCTAGGCCAATTTGGTTGAAGGAATGTGCCGAAAGTTACCCCAAAGGAATTATGGTGGCATGCGGTATATCATATGAAGGAAAATTAAAAATAAGAAAAGTTGAAAGAAATGCTAAAATAAACTCGGAGTACTATCAAAACAACATTTTGGAATCTATATTTTTAAATGATATTCCCTCTATCTATGGAAAACACAGAGCAACAAAGTCTGGTTTCACCATGATAACGCCACAAGTCATACCTCATCTTCAACCCAAGCCTATTTGGAAGATCTAAGGCAAAGAACAGGAATCAACACTATTCCAAAGAACAGAACCCCTGTAAAATCTCCTGATTTAGCCCCGATGGATTTTTGCATTTTTGGATGCCTTAAAAGAGCACTTGGAAAGAGACACCCTAGGAGAATTGAAGGTCTCTGAAAAGTGGTAAAGGAAGAATGGGATCTTTTGAGTATGACCATGATCAGAAAGTGTCTGCTATCGTGGAAAATCAGGTGCCGTTCTGTAAATAAACAAAAAGGCTTTCAAATAGAACATTTGAAAAATATCAAATATGGTGTTAATATTTAATATTTTATAATAAAACTTGTTTCCTATAAGTGTGAACACCCTCTGTATTTAATGACTAAATTTCCGAAGATTAGTTGTTCTAAGATAACGGAAGGCATTTTTATTGGACCTCAAATTCGTAAACTTTTTTTCCAAATTCCATAAGTTCGGGTGTTTAATGAATCTAAATTGCATTTTATGGATTCATATTTAAACCTTTTTTCCGATAATCTCGGTGCAGAGAGTGAAGAATAAGGTGAACGCTTCCACCAAGATATTAAAATCATTTAGCAACGATACAATGATTTTTGGAATCAACATATCGTGGCGGATTATTGTTAGAATCTGATGCGTGATGACAAACAAGCAAAATATAATAGACCTCACAGAAAAAAAATCTTTAAATCCATGAATATATATTTTTTATTATTTCCTAAATATTACTGCATTTTTATAAATAATGTTTATTAAACCAAATAAAAAGTTTTTCGCATACACAGCTTTTTGTTAAAACCTTCCATTTTATATATAAAAACAATTCTTCTGATAATTTTGAAAAAGAAAGAGAAAGAAATTAGATTTTTGAATGAAAATTTATATGGATAGAGTAAGTAGTTTGATAAATCTATTTTTAGCGCATTATATCTTTGGCGCATTTATTTATATAATAATATGTTTAATGTGAAAAAAATAATACAAATGTTATATTGTACTGGGATAAGGTGCATAAATTATGAAAAAGTTATCTTCTTATCGTGCAACTGAAAGTTGCTGATGGCTTGCGCCATCTATCGGAATAAATATCAACTAATCACGTTGATTTTTGATTATTCCGAATTGGCCAAATACCCATTCTTGATTAATCAAGAAAAGCTAACCACGGACGCGTTTCGGGCTGTTGGCCCTCATCAGCGTGGTGCAAGCTGTACCTCAACGACCATTAAAAAAAAGGTCATTCAGGCATCCTGAAAAATAATGGAACGGGTAGTTAAGGCCAGATTGCGTGAGACCGCGACACAATGTGAAAAAAATTGTACAAATGTTATATTGTGCTGGGATGAGGTCAATAAATTATGAAAAAGGCATCTCCTTATCGTGCACCTAAAAGTTGCTGATGGCTTGCGCCATCTATCGGAATAAATATAAACTATTCTCGTTGATTTTTAATTATTTCCTAATTGGCCAAATACCCATTCTTGATTAATATTTTCACATGATAAATATCATTTCGAATGATAGATATCTGCGGTTCCGAATAAAGTTTACTCGTACTTAAATATGACAAAAACACCTAGTTATGAACTAGTGGCCATTAAAATAGAAATTTTACCATGGTTGTATTAGCTCGAGTTGATGCCAACAATGGGAATGTTCAATAAACGAGACGCCATCAGATAATGTGCCTTTAGAAATGCTGTAGCTATGGAAAAATATGCCAAATATATGATAAATTTATTCAGTTTGTTACTAACTATTTATTTGAAGATCTTCAGTCATTGTGTATATAGAAATGCATTCAATCCCGCTTTAATAGATAATGTATGTGACTAGCAATATTTAGCCACCGACCATGTTGATGGTGAACAACCCATGATTATGGTCTCAATCAATACAAATATTTTGGTGATGATGAAAATTATGTTTTTGATATTTCTAATCATATACATTTATACGAATAAATGTGGGTATCAATAAAAAATATTCTCGAAATGATCAAAAATAAGTTTTAAAATGTTTAATCAAATACATTTATACAAATAATTGTGAGCATTACATGTAGAGAAATATTTTAATCGAGCCGTTAAAAAATCTATAACCTTATAACTCGAGATGGACATCTGTGGTTGACGCGTCGGCCAGGCTCGACTGGACTTCACTGCGGCGCTGCGCCTTCTCGGGCCACGACGCCGACATTGCGCTTAGGTTGGCCCTCCATGCCCTGCCCCACCCGAACCATCCGGCCTCGACCAGTTCATCATGCCAGGCCTGCGGTTCCGTGGATCGCTCCCTTGACCATCGCTACTGGAGCTGCAGGCATATCAGGGCCCTCATCATCGAAGCCTTCAGTGTCCTCGGGCGACCCCCTGACTTGCGGGCCTGGATTTTCGGGTCTGGCCTCGAAGATGACGACTTGGCCATCCTGGCATCGGCCAAATCCATCATCTACCAGTACTTCGTACAGGTTGGGCTGACCGGAGGAGCAGAAAACCCGCTCATCGCCTGGGAAAGAAGGCTCACCCCCCGGGGCACATCCCCCGCATGATATTCTGTATTTTAGTTTTATTTCCATTTTTAATGTAAATTATTGACAAGAAGTCAATAAAATTTGTTTCATTTGTCATTGTCAACAAATTTGATCATAGTTGAAAAGTTCATTGGTATTATTCCACCAGCATACATTATTATATTTTGCCATCTGGTATTAGATTGAAATAAAATATTTTGATTAGTTTCTGTGAAATTTCTTTTTTCATCAAGCAAAATAGTCCGAAAAAATATATCTGTCTTTTCATTCAAAAATTCACCCTGTCCACAAATTAAGAAAATACTTAGAGAAGAGAACTTAAAGGAGACCTATTGTAAAATTATGTTTGTTACCTATATAATGTTTCTTGATGGTCACCCATCAAGTTGGTGGCGGGAGAATGTATAATTTAGTTAGAATATTTATGTTTATATAAAGGTTTAATATCATTTTTCTATGATTGTGTAAATATTCATTGAATTTATCATCATCACCTTTGTTGTTTACAAAAATGTTATATGAAAAATAAAGTAAGAAATTAAGCGAAGTGGTTACCCTCATGTTTACTGATCTCATGATTTAATAATCTAAGGTTTATGTTGTAAGAAAAAGTTAAACATCCGGTTTTTGATCAAGGACATCAGACACTTAAACAGAAAGTTGTTCCACAAAGTCCCGATTATTGATATCTCCCAAGGCCGTAATGCCTTCCTTTGTCTGCTTTACCATTGTAGACAGAAATTGTAGAAAGTGTTATGAAAGTCTCAATTGATTTAAACCGAAATATCATGTATGATGGATCAAGTTTGTCATTTTCAACATGAAATTCTTGATGTCTTTTAGCTGCCAAGCGAGTTTATATATATTTATTTTTATCTACGCTTTCCAAATTCTTTAGCATTACTTTCTCCTACACTAAGTATTTTTCAACTTAGACCTAACTTAAGATATAATCGAACTATATAAACTAGAATAACGATCAGGCTTTTACCAATATCTTCTTCTCAAAATTTTCCCATAAAAATCGTATTAATCGAACAACATTTTGTTATACATTATTATTATCAGTGGTGATAAAACATGACCTATACAAAACATTTATTTAATAATACTTCAGATAATAAAGCTTCTTATAAAATGGGGTTAAAATTTTATATTGATTCCAAAAATTCTTTATATGAAAGAGTTAAGTTGCGAAAGAAATAAAAATAATCTTTTGAATAATAATATCACTATTAGAAGTTCAAAGGGAGGTTTGATTATATTGGCACGCAATATTGATCCCATATATAAAAACCATAGTTCTGTGTCATATTTACATGACTGCAGTAACTATATCTTCCACTTAGTTAAATACAGTATAAGTCGAAGAAATATTTTCAAAATCGAGATGTAAAATAATATTGCCTAATAATATATATTCTTATAAATTATATTTAATGATGCCTATTTTTAAAACGGCATATCAGCATTAGATGATAGGAATTAGTTCTGATCAGGTTTGCCCTAAGTATTCAAACAGTAAAAAAAAAAAGAATTCTTATTGGATGTGATAGTTTATAGATTTTACTCTTTATATGAGAAGATCATCAATGCACTTTTTTCGAAAAAGAGAAATCGCGTGGTAGTAAAAAATAGATTCCCACCCTTTCCAAAACGTTCAAAAATGGCCTAACTTCCACAGAAGACGACAACAAGGTGTTGACGACCAAAAGGGGTTAGTGATCCTGAAAAATAAAAATATTGAAGCCCTGCTGTTTTAAAATCGGAGAATAACAATAAGTATCCATAATGTCATTATGAATAGTCTAGTGGATATGGCATCTGTCCGGTAAGCGGAACACTGTGGGTTCGATTCCCATCCCTGGACACTTTTATTTTTCCGTTTATCATTACTCTTCGCATTTCATCCTTTCATACCTCATCCCTAAGGTTAGAAATAATCTTTATTTCTCCTTAAAATAAATTTTGATTATTCGTTCAAAAGAAACACATGCGGGATAATTTCCAATGTCGTTTTACAAACACAAGCCGCATTATATTATATAGTATATGTCATTTCATTATCCATGTTATGAATTATTAAAAGAGTGTCCCTCTGATATTAACCCGGTAACATAAGATATAAGTTGAGAGATATTCGTAAACTTGTTTTAAATTGGCCGTGTAAGACCAAATGTGGCAACATAAGGTGATAACAGAGGATGGTACATGGGTCTACGGCTGAAATCCCGAAACAAAACGCCAATCAAGTCAATGAATGGCAGATGACGAACAAAGAGCCAAAAAGGCCAGGGTGGAAAATTAAAAAATGAAGGTTCTGCTCGTCATTTTCTTTGACAGCAAAGGACTTGTATATCATGAATTCATACCAACTGGGACGACAATCAATCAAGAATCTTGTCTTTCTATTTGAAAAGGTTACGGGAGGCTGTGCGAAAGAAAAACCTATAAAGATGGCCGAATAAAGATTGTTGGCTTTATCATGAGAACGCATGGCTAGATATAGCTCATTCGGTGCTCGCTTATTTGACAAAAATTATACTCCTGTGCATTTAAACCCTCCCTGATCTCCTGAATCAATACCAAATTATTTTTCAAAACCTAAATTTAAAGATGTCACTTAAAGTTCAACGTTTTGGCACAATACAAACCGTTAAAGAGAAATCACTGAAAGTTTTGCGATGAAGACGAATTTCCCAAGTGATTCCAAAGTTGGAAGAAAATATGTAAAAGGTTCATTGATGCAGGAGGGACTTATTCTCAAAATATTTAATTAATTTAATTTTGTATTTGTATAAATAAAGTTATAGCCTCTAAGTGCGGGGTATTTTTGATATCATACCTAAATATATCTGCTATTAATAAATTCGAGTATATTGGTTTTAACTTATTGTGTTATTTTTTATCTAAACTATAGACTATATATTCATCGAATATATACTATAAAAATATATATGTATTTGAATTGACGTTGGTTCGTTGCTGTAAGGAATATATATATTTAAAAAAAAAAGAAGGCATTTCCTGACCACGAGCACATGTGCTTTTTAGATGGCAGAGCGCCATCTAGTGGAGCAAAAATAAACTAAACGTTTATTTAGCTTGCTCCGTGATATTTCGCCAACCAAATTTCTTGATAAATTAAGAAAGGCCATCCACGAATGCGTTTCGCGCTGTTGGCGCTCGTCAGCGAGGCTTTTTGAGAAATCAAGAATATATTTATATGTGTCATGATCTCGAAAGTCTAATAATAAGAAGAAATATATCTCTCCCAGCTATACAGTCACTCGGGACCTACCACTTGGTTTTTGCAGTCGATGGCCAAGCGTCTTCTCCTTTGTTAAAGAAGACAAAGACACACGATGGATTTCGGAAACAATAAGTTGGTTCTTAAACCATGGGTGATTTGAGGTGTGCACAAGGTTTGACGGAAATTTGACGAGAAGTCCCGAAGGAATTGGGAGACCCACTAGAGTGAAGTCGGGACTGGACTGCAAGTCCAGCTCATTTTCAGCTGAATCTGTCAACTTCTAATATTTGCCGACCGTGAAACCTCTGACTGCAGTCTGATGCCCTGTACCATCTTGCCCGGTCTGAGGGTAACCTGATGTGGGGGACCAATCAGATGCTCATACGTCATAGCAAAATGACTGACACGTTTGGATGGGGAAGAAGCATCTTATTTTATCCCTTCAATCTTTTGAATTCCGCGAGATGGATAAGATAAATTATTGAGGATATGATTGTTTATGTTAACAGATAATCTTCCGGAACACGGGAACGAGGCCGTCATTGTATTGCGCGGAAATACCCATGTCTTTTCAACGAAAAACCAGGTGCACAGTCCATCATCTGCCGGACCTACAACGCCGTATTACCACGCCCATCACAAAGCTCTAAATAATGAGAGGTCATTACAAATGTACATGCGACTGGTGTCATATGGTCATAATCCAGCAGACACCCGAACTGCAGGGCTAGATCTTTGGGCAAGGGCTGGATAACGATGCATTCGTTATTCAGCGAATACTTCAACGAATACATACAAAGGTCATCATTTGTGTCTCACATGTGCAATTTTACATTGCTTTTGAGGGGAATTCACGAAAACATCTGGTTTTCTCGAAGAAGCCTATGTCGTATTTGTGTATTTATATGTGTATTTATAATACGTACTCCATTTGTACATCTCATTTACTGGCTTTAGAATTATGTGGATGTTTGAATGATGGATATTAATGAATTTTGCTTAAAATATATTATTTTCTCTTCTTCTAGGAGAATAAAACTTCAAACCAGGGCTCATACCATACATGGTAGAGCTCTTTAGTAGAATCTGACTAGTAAAATATTTGATTTCAAACAAAAGGCATATTCGCCTCTTCATAGCCTTGATAGAACACTCATCTATTAAAGACAACTTTGTACTCAAATCTGTATTCGATACTAGAACTTTAAAATTGTTCTTATTCGTGTCAGGGTGAAAAGACATTTGATGATGACCGACTTCTGTGTCGAAGATGGTAATGCACGATGATGATTGATTTTGTTCCTGAACTTAATCCATCAGAAATATATTTCTAGCAGAGTAAAAGAACCAGATTTGTTCATTCGAAAAAATATTTTAATTATTTATATGTTAGCAGCAGAGATATCCACAGTGTCAAAATTGCTTATAGCATAATTGTACTTGTTTCTCAGATGTCATAAAGAAAGGCATTTAAAATTGTATATTAACAATATTTAAAAATAATTGAGTTGCATTTTTTTTATTTAGCCAAATTTATTTAGAAGTTGAAATATAACAAAATATACTAGAAATCCTTTTGCAAATACCTTTATTGAGGACGCACACAAAAAGTAAAATTTTTATTTTAAAAAAGTGATGTTTTTAGAATCTCAGAAATATTAAAATATTCAACTCGTTTTCAAAAATATCTTATCCATATAATAATATGGATATAGAATGGGTTAAAGAGAACATATGAACTTTGGCAAAATTAACTTCTGGTGTTGGGTAACAAATGATTAAAATTCAAAGTGAAACGTCTACAAAATGTAAACTTATATTTTTGATCCATATATAGCCTGCACTTTCATTCCATGTTTCTCGTGTAATTTAGTTCAAAGAGAAGTTTATTTTCACATTGTTTTATATAATACAAATAAGGAATATATCCACAAAATATCTTGAAATACATAAACCTCAAAAGCAATATTATATTTTAGGTTTTGTATTTCTAAAATAACCAGAATGTTAGAAGTATTTATTCAAAATGCAATTTATATAAAATATTCTCTGCATGGTCATTTATGAAGTAATATCAAGAAGGTTAAATGAAAAGGTGGAATAAATGCTCATTTTTGTGCGCATTCAGCATTAAAGAATATATTTCAAAATATATTTATAGAATAAAAATCTTGAAGTGAACTGATATATAAGATATAATTTTGAAATATTCTTTACTAATATATATATTTTTAATTTTTGTCACAACAAATTTTTACATAGAGATTTATGAAAAATATTTTTAAATGAATAATATCCTCTTTTTCTCTCTATATATATATTTATTAAAATTTTTTATAATAATATTCCATTCATATTTAAAAGTATAAATAAAATTTTGACCACTTAAAAATAGTTAATTATGTGTCGTTCTATGTGTTAACCTAAAAAATAATAATGAATAAATATATATACAAAATAAAAAATACCTAGAATTTGTTTTTAAAAAAACGTTTAACTCTTTCATTTTTTAATCTAAGCGATATACATATAACATATCAATTTGAAATATAAAAAGACTGTACTATACATATTTATCAGAGTAATATTTATGAATGTTACACAGAGTATTTGAAATTTATTTCCAAATTAAAATGTCTTACTTGGCTTCATTGTTAGATTACAAACTTAGAAGATTTAAAAACTATCAATAAATCGATACAAATTAGTAAAATATTAGAACATGAACTATCAATGTGTATTTTTATTAAAATCTAGAAACTAGCCAGCTTTCGAGCGAATCAATTTTTTCGTTTGGTTTTTATACGGCTGAATATTAATGTTTATTTGTCTCTTTTTAACGTTAAACAACCAGTTTAAGATTTCACTCCAAAACTCTCTTATTACTAGTTTTGAATATCAATACGCATTGCTATTCCATGTTGTAATGTTAGCCAAATATCTTGCAATTTTATTATTATATTAATATCAATAGTGCATTAAGCATTGACCCAAATTTCAGACACAAACAATATTAGAAACTATTTGGGAATTCAGGAACCTATCGTTTTGTAACTCTCTCTATAGATGTAAATAATATTAAAATATTTTATATACATTTATTGATATTTAATTAAAAAGGCATATATTGGATCAAACTATCACTTGTTATAAATAAAAAGATTTTAAAATTATCATGATCTTATACAATGTTATATTTATGATTTATCATCTACATTATTGCATGCTGGTTTTATATATTGTATATATCCTTATTAAAATAAATTCTTAATTGTGATTTTTATAAGGGATATAAATACATGGGCAAAATAATGTATAAATAACACTGTTGCGATCTAATATATTTGATATATGATGATATAATGAATATCTCAATTAATAAATATATTAAAATACTTTGCATTTATAGATACAACTGCAGCTTTTTAAATGGTTTTATTCATAAATGCAAAACTTCTAAACCTCCTTTTTGAGTTGTTTCACCAACATGGTATAGGAAATCCCGAATCCAACAAATTTAAATATAGCAGACAATCCCAATTGTATAATACCGCCTGCGTATATTACAACATTCTGCCAACGGGCATTAGATTGAAGCAAAAAGATGTTAGTGTTTGA